GCCTAAAGTAATTGATTTTACGCGGCAGAACGAAAGAAGGAAACTCCGCTTTTCAGTTGTCTCAGGCGATTGATTTTTGACAAACAATGACCTTTCAGAGGTCAAATTGCTGCCAAGAATATGAATTGGCTGCTTCGCAGCAATTATTATTCCAGACGTGCATCTAAGTGGGGGTGCTGATGGGGAGGCCTCGATGGTCATTTGAGGGGGCGCTAACTCACAAAAAAGGTGATTTTAAGTGGTTTTTTTACTATTGACCGTGATTTTCGTGGGCGACCGGGGGGAAGGAATCATTTTTTGAGAGCGCCGTGCGCTTCCACACGCGTCCCCTAGTAGACGTTCTAACCCCTAGACCTAAAAAATCGGGAGACGGGAGAATTTGCAGGTGAAGGGTTACCATCAATTATGAAAAGCGCCCTCAGCGTCGAATGTTCTGATAGCATTACGTTTTTCGAGGAGTCGAGTCAAACATAATTTTTTAGATACCTATGGTTTTTGATTCATGTGGCCTAATAATTAATATCATTTATTTTACCGTGCGAATCCTGTGTTTTTTTAACGGGCCGTATGTTAAAATTTCGTGGCTGTACTGCAAGGACAACATACCTAGGCTTAGCCTAGTCAGTTTTTTAAATTTGGGAAAACTTGAACAAATTCGGGAGACCAGGAGATAGCATGTAAATTCGGGAGACTCCTGATCGAATCGGGATAATTGGAACCTTTGCCCTAGATACGCTACTGCAAATTTCACAAGACATTTGTTGTAAGATGTATAACTGCCAAGTCAGTAGTAGGTAAATTCCAATAATAAAGGTTAATTTTTCACTGAATCACAAAAATTGACTTTCCTAGCTTTTGAGAGTGCAGCCTAGCTTAGTCGGCTTAACTGGTGGTAGCCACTGTGGTTGCCCTGAACTGTGGAGATGTTTGGTTCCCAGTTCAATTTTATCCACTACTACCCTTGTGTTTCAGCTGGAGGATTGCAATCTGTGGCAGATTCAATGGAGCTCCAGCCGGCCCGGTACCCCCTAAATATTTTTTTTTGCGCCACTGGAAATGCAGAGAAGCACAACCTTTCTTTATGATTTTCCTGCACATAATTTGCACCATAAAAAGGGTTGAATTGCTAAATTTTGTTAAAACTTGAGGTGGTATCCCAGAAAGTGATGAAGCGCTATTGAATCAAAGCCGTAAGGCTGGGCACTCACTGCATTGTACGACGGTTGTACGACCCTTGACCGACAAATCCAACTCCAGTCACTGTGAGTGTCTGCTGATTGGTGGTGGCAGTCTGAATGAAACGTCATAATAATAATAATAAAATCTTTCTTTTACAACGGAAGCTCATTCACTAAGGTGGTGTTCTTCCACGAGGCCGTATCGTTAACATTATAAAAACTTAACTATAAAATGAACAACTAAACAAGAACTACTAACAAAAATACAAATAAAAGGGAAAATAGAAAAGCTTAAAACCAGAGATTCTACCAAATAGTCTGTATTTAAAAATTATGTTGCAATAATCTTTTTAAAAATTTAAGAGTGGTACTATTTTTTGGCGTCTCATCAATATTGTTCCACAAGTCAGCACCACATTATATCAAACTATTTTTCTTATACTCTGTATTAGGTTTATCTATGTACAGGTTATTTGCAGATCTAGTATCATATACCTTCTTAAAGTAAGCAAAATATAATGATTATTGGCTGAATGTAAATTGTAAATAGAATTCTTGATTTTAGATAACGTTTAATAATAATTATTATAAGTATTTTTAATTTATTGGTTAAGAATATTATTAATCAATTAATGTGTGTTATTGTTATTTGCATAACTATTACAGCAACTTGATTCAATCGATGAAGATGTATCAGCTATGAGTACATGTTGTAATGACATGACCCAGAGGTTAAAGGCTGCTAGGGACCAGACCTCAGATCTCATTAGTAAAACAACTGAATTACAGAAAGAAAGGTACAAAGTTAATTATTCTTCATGTATAGAACCAGACATAACTGTAAAACATAATTCGCTCTTTAATCTCCAAAATTATTTGTTAACCACCTTAATCGAGACAAATAAAATTATAAATTACGATGAAAGATAATAAATTCAAGACTACCAGTCACTGGGGGATTACTCAATATCACTTGCGGAAGCGTAGAAGACGGGTAGATACCGACAAAGGAATTTGCACGTCATTGCTTTGATATGTAGTCATTAATAAAATTCAGCACTGTGATTTGTTGAGAACAAAGTTGTTGTCAAAGAGGGCAGGCTTCCATTCAAATACACCTATACTGCTGAATGTCATTGTTTTCCCCAGAAAATTAGAAACAAAAATCTTGGGGTTTTGTAAATGTGTGATGTGATTCTCGAATTAATTTTCATTTATAGACAATACATAAATAGTAGCCAAAGAATATAGTATGTAGTAAATAAGTATAGTTTATGTATAATGAGTCTTTATAACCTTATTTTTTCTTTCAATATTCCAATGGGTATCTAAATACTGTATGTATGTTGTCAGTCCTATAAATATAACATTTTATAATTTAATTTTTATTCTTATCCAAAGTCAGAGGTTAGAAATGAGAGCAAAGGTGGCCGATGCCTTCCTTGGGAAGTACCAATTGAAACCAGAGGAACTAAAAGTCTTGCGAGGAACAAGAGATGGCAGATTGCACGAGGATTTCTTTAAAGCACTTGCAAGAGTTAAACAGATTCACCAGGATTGCAAGATTCTGCTAAGAACAAATCAACAAACAGCAGGGTACGTACATTTCCAAATATGGCCATGTTGAGACCCAGTTAAAATACAGAAGGTACCACATTTGAATATTGTATATGGTCAAATAATGGAGGTAAATTAATATTTACTATGTTATGTTATTATATTGTATTATTTCTCTATTCTTTTTCTATAGGTTCATCCATAACAACAGCTGCCCTTGTTTATTAATTTATTCATTATGTATATTTCATTTTTTTATACAATTATTTTCTGAGTTCTTTCACCCCTGACTCCTCTTTCTTTTTGTATGATTTTGTAAATTTGGAGGAAATAAAGATATTATTATTATTATTATTATTATTATTATTATTATTATTATTATTATTATTATTATTATTATTATTATTATTACCTATGTTGGGAGTGGCTGTAGTATAGTTGTTATGATACTTGACCTCTCTCTATCCTCCTCACCCACCGAATCTTAAATATCAAGACTTTTTTAAATTATAGGTTAGAAATTATGGAATCAATGGCGCTTCACATGGAAACAACATATGAACGTCTGTACAGGTGGACTCAAGGTATTCGCATAATTTATGCAAATTGGCATTATTCATGCATATTTCAACATATCTGGTATATTTACTTTTTGCGCCTTGAGCACTTTCTAATTGGATATGTGCGCTATATGAATCGTATTTATTATTATTAATAATATTATTATTACTTAACATACAAAAACCGAAAGGTCCACTGATTAATCTCAGATAAGAAAGTATAATACATACTCCAAGTATTGAAATGCACGCCATCGTGTTGGGATTCTATATTTCAACATTAATTACGTCATCATCAGGTTTCCTGAAGCGTCAGCGACTAAACTGACAACCCTCTCAGATATGTCTTAGTGGCTGCATCAGGTTTCCTGATGACATAATTAATGTCGAAATATTGAATCCCAACATGATGGAGAGCATTTCAATACTTGGAGTATGTATTATACTTTCTTAACATACAATGCACATATCTCTTAATTGTGTTTTCATTTCTTCTCATATAATGTAAAATGAAGTTATTAGACTTTCCCTTTGGTTTGATAGGTGAGAGTCGGTCAATGACAACTGATTCTGTTGAAGTGACTTCATTTCTTGCCAAAGCAATGGAAGCTCTCCAAGATCGGCCTGTTTTGTTTCAGTAAGTTATAACAATCCGGTTCTTTTTTTATCTCTGCAAGATAGGTAGATAAATTAGTAGATGATCAAATAAAGTATTCCATAAATTAAATTACGCTTACATGAATTACACAGGCTCCCAGTCAAGCAACGCATTGATTCAAGGACATGCTTACTGTATACAAGTCGGTAAACAACCAATTCCCAGCATAATCGCTAATGAATTTGATCCACAACTTGCACAAAATATCTGAGGTCAACGATTAATACACCTGTTTTGTTTGTTCCTCATGCTGTTACAGTTGCTTCCCCTAAGTTTTAAACAGCCTACTTTATCAGTTCAACAATCACTATCAATTGTAATCTCCAAAAGCATGTTAGTATTTGTTGTCATAATTATTGCAAAATTCATGTCATTAATTTTATTCTAAAGAATAATGATACTGTACTCTACTATACATTTTTTGGTGAAGTTATACTTGTTACCAATATGTGGGAAAGACAGCCAAACCAGTCACTCGTCGCAAAAATACAGAGTTATATACTAATATGAGAGCTATAAAATGGTAAAAGAATCATTTAAACCTGACATTTTGTTATGAAGTTACAGGGGTTTAAACATACAGCTGTTTAAGGAACAATGTTTAAGAAATCAGCCTTCAAAGTTTGATTTTGGACATTTCTCAGGCAGAAACCATCATCAAATCGTTAAAAATTATTGTTTAACATTGCAAATGGGGAAAATAACAGCATAGCATGATGTATAGATACTGTATATAAAGGATAGTTTAGTGCAATAAAATAGATGTCAAAAATTTTGAGATTCCAGCATGTTTTGGCCATTATCTCTGAAACAGGATTTGCGACAAGTGACTGGTTTGGCTTGTCTTTGCCACTTATAATAATTATGTCTGTTTTACAGATATTCTTTAGATGAATATGGAACAGCAAGGAGAACTGCTGTAGTACGTGGATTTATTGATGCATTGACGAGAGGAGGTAGGTAATTTGTTATGTTAAAAGTAGCAACATTGTTATGTTACCAATAACAACGGTGCTATGTTGCCTGTCCCCTGGGATATTGTTTAGTTAAATAAATCTGATATAATGTTATATATACTACTAATAATAGCCCACTGTTACGTTACCAGTAACAATATTGTGTTCAAATATCCTGGGTACGACATAAACTCCGTCCGGTCGAAGCGTTGGCGACTAAACTGACAACCCTCTCAGATATGTCTTAGTGGCTGCTGAGCTGACCTCTGGTACCCTAAAACCTAACTTGTAGTGCAGCAGAGGCAGGTTCTATTCAACCTCCCATTCTACCCCCTTGTACTAATGATAAAATTGTATCAAAATATCAGAGAATTAAAAAAAAATGTTCTTTCCATTATCATGAATATCAACATTGCAAATTCGTTTTCTCCACCTTATATTGTTATTCTTAATTCTAATTATCACCATCTCTGCATTTAGGCCCAGGTGGCACACCACGACCTATTGAACTCCATTCCCATGATCCTTTGCGCTACACTGGTGACATGTTGGCATGGTTGCACCAAACAACTGCCTCAGAGAAGGAATTGTTACAGAGTTTGTTGAAGCTTGCAACCCAGAAAGGTAGGTTAAGTGCATAGAAACATCTTCGCATTATGCACTATATAAATGCTATCATCATTATCATTTACACAATAGACCGAATTAGTGACCAAACCAAAGCCTTTGTAATGGGTATAACATAAAAAAAAACTGCTAGGTGGCAGTTTTTTCACAAAATAATAAGCCTCCACTGAAGTAAATTTTGACGGTTTTTAAACTCCTCAAACTTATATTATTTGTACATTTTATCGTAGTCAAAAGAAACATCTTATTCTACAATTCATCAATTTAGGTTTGTCCAATAGTTTAAATATTCCATGCAGAAATTTCAACAAAATAACTTGGTGATAGTATTTAAGCTGAATATGTACCTCTAAATCAACAGCGATCACCTTAGTGAGTGCTGGATGTGCCCCACGAGCGACGGGCCTAGGCCCCCTAGAAGGCCTTTCGAGATTCTTCATACTTTTAGTCTGAATGGATATTTAAATCAAATCAACCTTAATCTCATGAATTTATGAATCATTCAAAATGTATACATTGTTATAAAAACTATCTTCTACACTAACTTCATTACATTTTAGACAATTTAATAGACACCACTTTCGACATTAGCATAGAATTTTACGATGTAAACAACTTTTAATACACACTTGGCCAAATTTTGATGACGTCATCTTTGGTGAATAATTCAGTCTATTTTGAAGGCAAGTGGCACATAGTAAAACTTTGGACTAGCAATTAATAATCAAATGATGATTGATGATTGGTTTTAGCCTGAGATTGGATCTATTTTTGTGTCCTTAGGAGTTGTAATGTACAAAAGCCCATTGGTGCCACTACAAGTATATGAGAACTTCAAATAATAATCAAAAATTTCAGATTAGTAATTTAGTAATCAGAAATTTCAAATTTAGTAATTCAAAATTGATAAATACTTGTAGTTGCACCAATGGGCTTTTTTTTTTGGTAGTAATATTGTAACCTACTTTTCTATGCATTTATTTACATTCTTTGTTATCTTCCTTGTTTTATGACCATTTCTCATTTCTATCAATTCTTTTTCTTCCCTCCTGCCTTCCTCCTCCACCCATATAGACCGTGAGGAAGAAATTCAAAGCATATTAGGACATATCACAGAAGGGGTCTGTAGACCATTCAAGGTAGGAATGATTTTTTTTTTCTGGCCACTTGTTTACTCCATATTTAACAAGAGTGATTCTGAGTAGAGCTGTAGCGTGGTGATTGCCTTTTATTACCAGGTCTTGGATTTGATTTCTGTCAGTGACATAATGTCTTTTTTTTTGTCATATTACCAAAACAACAACATTCCATAAGCCTCATCTTGAGACTTAGTTTATGTAGGAGATGTAAGTTGTGATAATAATCCATCAGAAGGGAATAGCCACTTTAACAAGGGATAGAAGGATCCATTCTGTTGTGTTGATCATTGGATTAAGTCTCTTTATGAGCAGGTAGTTGAAGTATTTAATCTAAGCCCCTGGTATTTTAACCATTAAGCCTATAGCTCCTCCTCCCTTTCATCTTGTATGTAATATTACTGTTGTTATTATTTCTTAGTATTTAGTAAGTTTTCTTTTTTGACAGGTTCGAGTAGAACAAGTTATTGTTGCAGAGCCTGGACCTGTTGTACTGTATAAGCTGAATAATCTAATAAAATTCTACCACTACACAATAGCGTGAGTATTAAGCTTGTTATCTAACCATTCCATACAGCTGTCCGTATTAAATGTGGAGGGGGGGAGCTGCGGATGGAGAGATGATTGGGATTGGATTGGATTTCTTCAGTGTCTTATTTCCATTGCAGTACTCCTGATAGTGAATTAGGCAGTACATGAAAGACAATCCCCTACACATTTCTAAAGAGGGTTCTGTGTTCTGAAACGTTAACATGGGCAATATTGCATGCAGAACCAATAACTTCTCATGTGGAACATGGTGTGCTAATGAATCAGCCCTTCAGTTAAAGCACAAAGTTTTCTATAATATATTCACGGTTTAGGGCAAACACAGTGGCTAACTGTTTAGCAGACTTACCAACCTGCTGTATGATTGATTCATTAATTGATTTATTTATTACTGTATTGATTAATCGATATTTCTTTTTCTAGACTTTTGCTAGACAGCGAAAGCAGCCTTTTGTTGACACTAGAAGAGATGCAGGAATTCTCACAGAAGGTCTTCTTCAACGCCCTCAACGTGCATGCGACAAGACTCATTGAGAAAGTTGAACTGCCACCCGCTGATCTAAGCCCACCAACCTCACTCTCACAAACTTTGACCTTGCTACAGGAAGTGTTGGCTTCCCATGATTCTTCTGTGGTTCCTATTGATGCACGGCAGACAGATTTTGCTCGAGTAAGTAAATAACTTTTAAATGTTAATATTATTGTTATTTATATTTTGTTACTAATTTGTTGTTTTATATTGTAAATGATAATTTGCTGGTTTGTTATTTCATTGAGTACTCATTTGACTTGGGCCCTTAAAAATTAAACAACATACTTTCATGGAGGTTTAACATAAGCTAACATGTTTCATTTCTAGGTGTCTTTAGCTTTCCTTAGTTTTATATTGTAAACATCTTATTTGCTATAGGAATATATTATTAACATTACAGTTGTCTCATATTTCTCCTCTCACTTATGTCATATTTGTCCCCTTATCCATATCATATCTGTCCCCTCACTCTTGTCATATTTCTCCCCTCACCCATGTCATATTTCTCCCATCCCCAGGTGTTGTCTTGCATACTTGATCCGCTACTGCAGATGTGCGCTGTATCAGCTAGTAGACTCAACACAGCGGACATGGCTACATACATGATAAACTGTATCTACGCGATACAAACAACGCTGGCTCTCTATGAATTCACTGATCAACGTCTTGAGATGTTAGATGCTCAGGTACATAACATTTATTTTATCTTTTTATTTATTTCATTATTTATTTTAGGTTTCAGCATCCTTCCAAATACTTATTTATATCCATATATGGAAAGAGAAAAAATAATAAATGGACAAGGATTTGAATCCTTCATATCAATTCAAGTTTGGAAGCTAGAAATGCTTAAACTGCTTCCATGCTATATTGAATTTGTTACCTTTTATATGTTGCAGTGTATAAACAAAGATATTCTAATGTATTTTTTTATATATTGGACAATAAAAGATTGAAATAAAATGAATGAAAGTTACAGCGAATATGTTTACAGTTTTTATACTTTTGTATGATATTATTAGCACATTATTTTTATTATTAGTTTTTTATAAATATTGTTATTATTATTATTAAAATTCTATAATACTAAATAAAAACAGTTTTCTGCATCTTCTCTGAGACTGCACTGATATGTGAAATCTTACTGATCAACCAGGGTGCCCTTTAAAAATGCTTTGATTATGTTCTAAGGTAGTTTTTATATCATGTTTTAGCAGTTTTTCATGCATAGAATATTTCAAAACTCACAGCCAGCTGAAAAAAGCCATATGTCATTTGCACATGATTGGCTTATAACATATGGAAGATAACGTTTTCAAATACCTTCAGACGATTCATGTATTTCTATTTATGTATGGTCATAAATGATTGACAACTTATAATTTATTAGATTTTTTTTTGCTCTCAAGATTGAAGCACATACAGATGCCCTTGTGAATGAGCAAGCATCATATACCCTGTCAAAGGTCAACCTGGTACAAATCTACAGCATTGCACAACAGCATCAACCGAATGAGGTATCGTATACAAACATTATTGTTAACTTCAATATGTTAAATTTACTAGGCCTAACCATATTTGGATATGGTTAGGCCCCCCCCCCCAATCACGAATAGTTTTTGATGTAAAGTAGACATATAATTATATGGTACAGATATTTTTGATTATTGATTATTTTGATTCCAGGGGCCACTGTCATCTGTACATGGAATGGAAGCAGCATCTATTAAGCATGCCATGGTAGAATTCATTTAAAATTATTTTGATTATAAATATAATATTATATGTCGATAAGAATAGCTATAATGACGATGCCGGTAACAATGATGACGACGATGATGATGAGGACTGTGATGAAGATGATATGATGATGATGAAGATAATGATGACTGTGATGATGATGGCAGTGGTTGTGATGATGACTATAATGATGAAAAAGATGATGAGAATTGCTGAGGAAGGTGAGAATAATTATGATGATAGCTATGGTGATTATGGGAAAGACTATATTGAAGATGATGAGAAATATTTGTGCTTTATGATGATGTTCATGATGAAAATGCTTTTGAATCAAAAGGTAAAGATAAAAAGCAAGATGATGAGAATTGCTGAGGAAGGTGAGAATAATTATGATGATAGCTATGGTGATTATGGGAAAGACTATATTGAAGATAATGAGAAATATTTGTGCTTTATGATGATGTTCATGATGAAAATGCTTTTGAATCAAAAGGTAAAGATAAAAAGCAAGATTCAACAAAAATGAAAAAATAATTATGATAATGACAAAACATTTGAAAAACGTAGCTCTCCTTGTTCGATTGAAATGTTCAATTTTTTCTTGCAGTCAAAATTTGATTCGTACTTAGCATCTCCCGACAGTCTCATCATGCCCCAGTGCAATCTGCTTCAAGGTCGAAGTTTAAGGTATAATTAGTAAATATTCATTATTAGTCATTAATACTTTTTGTATTATAATTCATTGATTAAAAATTATTAATAATTGTTATTAATTTCTTTAATGTGATTAATGTAAAAAGTTATAATTTATTTTAATAGTAATTATTAATATTTGTAATTCATTTATATTCAAATTAATTTAATAAAAAATATAAATATTAGTTTATTAATTATTTCAATAAATTTATGTTAGATAATATCACTTTTTATTATAATTCATTTAATATTAATTATTAATATTTGTAGGGAGAAAGTTCACAAGAAGTCAGTTACCCTAATTTGCTCAGCATATGACCTGATACACAGGGCGGTCATTGACCCCAGTAATGGTTACAGCGACACAGCCAGCATGGTTGTCAGAACGCCTGACCAAGTTCGCACTCTACTGTCCTGAAGAACTGTTCAAGTGGTCACATGATCAAATTGTCACCTGGTTTGTCATCTCTGAAGATTCTTTCCAAGTGGTCACATGATATCTTTCCTGAATATGAATAAATTTACTAACATATTTTACTTCTAATTTATTTCACATACAGCAAAAGTACACTCACCCAGTTCAGGAGGACACTACAATATAATGCATTTATTACTCCATAAACTTACAAACACTGTTTAGTTTAGACAGCTTGGCATGTGTATGCCTCCTGATTATGTCAAACAAGCATATTGAAGTTTGATAATACTGAATCATTTTATCATCAACTGATAGACTACAGCTGTGTAAAAACTTAATAGTGGAACATTTAAAGGTCATGTCTGAACATAGAGCAAAGAAACAGATGGACTGTTCTGAAGCAAAGAATATCTATATGTGAATTACAGTTCTTGAATAAGTCGAATGGCCGTGGGAGTTGAATGGCCGAGCGGTAGGCAGGGGCGCCACTAACTACAGCCTTAACAACAGCACTGGTTCAGACCACTTCTTGCCCAGGGCTCAGTTTGTCAATGCTGAGTTAGACAGTACAAGACAATTTTTCATTCAGAAAACAAATATTTCAGCGTCACTGGTTATAAGTTGGCAAATACAGATATTTTTAATGAACTTATTTTGAAGTGACATAAAATTATTAACTTGAACATAGAAATTAGAGTATTTAAAAAATGTTTACCATAATTTTACAGTCACTGGAAGGGTTTTATTTTTTGATTATAATAATTATCCAGTATGAAAATCAGGGTACACATTCTTTATATTCAATAATTTTTATGCTCAACCTAATAATTTGTGTGCTACTGCAAAATAAGTATGGTAAAATTTTCAAAATTATTTTTTTTCTTTAAGCAAACATTTTACAATAAACTATCTTTCAAGGTTTTTTTTTAATTTAATTTTCAATTGGTTAATGTAATGATTGATTGATTTGGTGCATTGTCACATCAATTGACATATAACTGTTCAGCTAACATATAAAAACAATGAATTAACCAAAGAAAATCAGTTACAAAACAAAGAAAATACATTACTGTACTGCAAAGATCTTATAAACACAAAATAGCGTTCTTCACGATTTACACGCGCAAATTCTGTAATAACGCATGAAAATCACCCTTTTGCAAAATTGAAAACTTTTGAACCTTGACCGCTCTGATTATAGCATACCCCGCGCGACTTTACGTTTACGCATAACAATTAGAAGCATCCGATTTACAATGCGCCCTTTCTTTAGAACATAAGGTACAAAATTAACGTACTTGGTAACTAACTTTGGTGTAACGCGAACGCCCTATCTCAGATCCATGGCAACGAAATCCCAAAACTGATTACTTTTCTGTCCCAAATCAACGCTTCTATTTGTTACGCGTAAAATCGCGGAGAACGCTATCTTGTGTTTATAAGATCTTTGCTGTAATGTCATTATCATTAATGTTAAATAGAGGACGCATTTGTAAAAAACAATATTGCATTGTGGAATGCAGAATTATCCAGAAGGGATAGGTTTCTTTTAATATGTTACTTTTTATTGATTTTTAATGTTAAAATGTATATCTGTTGTATATATTCAGCAATACAATAATATGAAAAGACAGTAATGATGTTGATAGTGTGCACTCATTTATTTTATGTCCGTGTGCTGCATAATATTTAATTATTATATAAGTCCTCTATAACTCTCGCCCACTCACTCCCACCTTCACCCAGGAATCAATTTTTTACTGGACTGCTCAGCTAAAAGACAGCAAATAATATCCTCCAATAAGCTGTGTTTGAAATACGACTACATCATGGATAATGTGCAATATTATTGTCATATATCAGACATGTGAAATATGAATTCTTCCTTGCCTGCTACAAAACGATTGCCATAATTAACAAGAGCGACCGTTCACTGGTCCGTGCATAAACTGAGGTTACCTCAATTCAGCATTTACCTCTTCGTGTATGCACCTTTCAGACAAGGCTTTTTGTTGACACTTAAAACATGTTTTACATGGAGGAAATATCCTCCATGCTTAAAACAGTACACATTGGTGTAAGTTATTATATTGGATTTTTGGCAAGGGTTCATAATTGCCATTAATTACTACCATTAAAAGAAAAAAAAATGTCCTAAAATTGTATTAAAAAAAAAGTTAATAAATACCAAGACCGGGACAAAGGCGCGATTCGACCTCACGACCTTTGGCTCCGTAAAACACAACGTTAACCGACGTGTCCTATAATGGCAGTAATGTACAGTCATTGCTGAATCCCCCGTTTTGTTTCGTAGGTATATGGGGCACCCTAGAGTTGAACGTCAAAAAAGAGGCCATGAACGTTTGTTGGAAATCACCTTTAGTGTATGTGTACAAAATTTCATGCACGTGCGTTCAAAAGTGGTGACGCTGGGCGCTTCAAAAGTTCTGGTAAAAATAAGAACAACAACATAAGAAGTGAGGTTCAGGGTAAATAAAGACATTCATTTAAACTTACAAAAAATTAAACTAAACTTAAGCACAGCAAGGGCTAGTATTTAATTTGCACTGGGCCTGTTCTCACCTTTACTACGCTGTTGATATAATCTTAAGCAAAAAGATGAGAAAACTAGTACATTACTGTATTTGCGAAGTCTCGAATCGCTGCATAAACAATAAAATGATTAATATAAATATAATTTTGTAGAGTTTAGTTGCCAGGAATTGAAGCTAGTCCATGGTCATGGTAATATCCAAATTGAACACACTTTTGAAGAGGTTGACAACTACAGATCTATGCCATTCACCTGAAGAAAGGCGGTGCTTACGAAAGTTTGTGTATCAATAAAATGATCTAATTGTCTCTAAAGTGATATATTGATAACCATTATTCCACGGATCTCTTCCAAGTAGCTAATGGGCCAACGCACCAAAAAAGCAGGAATTCATTTTCTTACCAAAGATGAAGTTACTGTACTACATCATCACAATTCATAATACAGCTGAACTTCTTTTGAAATAACATTCTTCCAACAAATTGTCCACCAATTTTTTTTTGTAAATCAACAATACATTGATCCAGAACATGTTTGTAGACTACCACCTGTCTCCAGCCAGAGGGTATTTAGGGGAAAGCAGGGTGTGTAGAAAAGCTTCCCCCAGTCGTCCCCCAATCGCCACACCTGGAAATGCTCGAAGCAACAAAAATATGCTCAAGTTAAAAATCACCTCATATAGGCTAACCTTACTTTTTGCGAGCTAGTGCCCCTCATTCTATTATCGAGTCATCACCCCCCCCCCCTCCATCATTTCAAGATTTCTATATTCCTGGTTGCTCGAACGGTCTACAGTTGAAAAGCTTGATATGTACAGTAGGCTAGGCCAGATAGAGTATGATAGACAGACTCTAATATAAAATTACGATTGAATTATGATGATTGAAGATGGTTATTATCGGGGATATTATAGTGTGGGATGTAAACGTATGTTCCTTGTCCTATTGCATGATGTTATTGTATATCGCAATCATTTTAGAGTCATACTTTTTAACTTTATTCAATGTGTTTTAAGTTTCTTTTTATCCAGTTTATATCTCGACTATAGTTTTACTCTTCTACTACTACTACTGATAATAGTTTTCTTGTTGTAGTTCTAAGCTCTCTTCATTGAATGTGATTTTTTTTTTCCTGGTTAAATAAAGTTGAATGAATAAATAAATAGACGTATCTTTTAAGAGGTTTGTACGAGGCCTAATACCACGTTCGTTTTATTCCAAATTTGCAAGTTAATACCGTAGAAAATAATCGCTATGAAGTGTTTTCGTGCGCAACGGGCATAGGGAAAGTTTTAACACAGGTCGTATACGCTATAATGGCTGAGAGACGTGCCGAACGAAAATTCAGCAAATACACGCTATAAAAAACCTCTGACAAACCTAAATGAGAAATTGACGTAACTTTTGATGAGATTCTAATGGCACGGTAGGTGATTGTTAGTGCTGGCGGACAATGACAGAATACAATGTAAAAATAACGCATTTCTTTTACACGGTCATCATTCAAGATATTTTGTCCAACTGACAAGGAGAGTGCTAGAACATGATTTAAGGCAGTTTAGTTTCCTCGCCGATGTACGTCTCGGCGACAGTAGGCTAGTCAGTGGAAGGCCAGTTGAAAAAAGAAAGTTGGAAAAGTATAGAGAAGCGGTTTGATTCAAATGCTTTCGGTTGGATGGATGGATTTATTCGGTGTATAAAAACACCAATGTTACCGGTAACCCACGAAAGCCTGAAGAAGACTTTATTTCCAGTGGGGTCCTTCTGCTGGTGAATGGGCAGTGCGCCGGGAGACAATCCCCTTAATCCGAAGAGTGTACTGCGTTCTGTAACGTGTGGGACAATGCACACAGGAACAACGGCTTACGTCTCATCCGAAAGACTTGCTTGTATTTTAGCTCTCTGAAACACAAGGAGAGCATCGATGGGAGTTGAACCGGGGACCTAGAGATCTCCACGTGGTCCAGTGCACGCGTAGTGGCTATCACCTGTTTAGCCGACTGAGCTAATCTATAATTTAGATGGCGTCATGAGTTCAAGGAGATCCGGGAAAACAACTTGGTACTAGAGCACAACACATTTTCCATATAATTTGTCCAGGAACCAGAATAAAAACATAACATAACACTCGAGCGTGTAGCTCAAGTCCGTTAACCACAAGTGAATTTCAATTTCAAATTAAACCTCCGAATCAGAGAGATAAAATACATTTTAAAAAGCAAACATTCACTGAGAATCAACACACCATATATGCAAATACACTGAAAAAACCCCATAAAAATACAGTGGAAGTGAAACGATCAAGTTCAATCAAATGTCAATGAAATAATGAGATGAATATGGATTAGACAAAAAGTTAACTCTTAAAAGTTAAAAACTCTTCCGTTACATTCTAAAAACGGATATAGGCCCTATCGCTATCAGTTAAACCATCTTCATTAAAATTGATGATTTCTAATTATTGTATATATTTTTTTGAGATAAAAAGCTGTCGAATAAAATTTAAAATAACAGTGATATATTTCTTACATGTCTTTGAGAACGGGACCACGTAGCCTAATTTCCGATGAAAAGGATGGAATAAAGTTTATCTGTATTCTGCAGGCCTATCTGTATTATTAGAAATATGCCCTGTCTTTTTCCAAAAGCTGAGACTGAGTAGGCCTAGCCTATGTAGGCCTGAGTATGCCCAATTCAATAGTTTTAATTCAAGGGTGGCACGGTGGCCGGCGGGAAAAACATTTCTGTTGTATAGACGAAATAAAGTAGGCCTACCGGTATCTGAGTATAGTAGGATGTAAGAGTACGGTAGTCTTTTTTCCAATCACGCCGAGACGGAGCAGGCCTGGTAAGAAATCAGAAAACATGTTAATTAGCAAAAATCGATCAAACACAGCCACAAATTAAGGAAAGTTCTAGAGTTCAAGGGGATTCGTTCTCCTTGCACCCTCTCACTCCGTCATACATTCACGCCCGTCCCCCGACCTTCTCCTATAGTTCTTCACTGGCTTGATCCCCCACCCCTTATGAGAAACCTTTATTTTAATCCCGTTTATAAAATTCGTTACTGTATTTCGATTACTTTTATCCTTTGTATATATGCTCTGATCGAGCGGTAGTGGTTATTTGTAGCAAGAAACCGAAAAGCCAAAAACGAATTGTCGATGCTGTTCCACTTTGTGTACTGTCTGTCTGTCTGCAGAAAATATACAAGGTCTCGTTTCGTTGTCAAGTTAGAAATTCTTTATAATGATCTATTATGGGTACGTGGTTTGGTTGGAAGATGCACTTATGAGTAATGATCGAGTACAATGTGTCATTATAAGTCGGAACTTGAAAGTGGTGATCAAGGACTAAATAAACAATACTGTACATAAATAGGGGATGAGCTCATCATAAATAGATTTTTGCGATTTTCAACACGTCATCTGGTTGACGCATGCTCTGTTGCGTTAGAATTTCCAGGCGTCGAACGTGGCGAACTGAACTCAGTGAAATTAATTATTTTTCTTGATCTTGGATAAATTATATTGTTTTTGACGATTATCAGACTAAAATTTTAATATATTGTAACATGTCCTCTTCGGGAGATTTCGGTAACCCTTTAAGGAAATTCAAGCTTGTATTCCTTGGGGAACAAAGCGGTAAGTTACTTGGTTTTATGTTTCCAAGCTAGGCTTGGCCTCTTCATTTGCCGGTGGCCGCATTCACCACCGCCCTCTGTGTAACCAACGTCTGACGTTGCTCTTGGTAGACTGGGGGCCTGGCTCTAGGCCTATACTAATTATAGCATTCCAATGGTTTGAAAACATTTTATGACCACAAGGTGTTTTTAGCCGTACCGGAATTTAGATTTTTCATGAGGAATGTATTCCCAATGATTATTTTTCCTGTCATCGACTAGGCCTAGGCCTAGGCCTATATTAATTAAGATAAGAAAACATTGTGAAACTGACATAACATAAAGATTATAATAAATAATAAAAAGAATAGGATTAAAGGGCCTAGCCTAGGCCCTAGGCTAGGATGATTGATGATGATATACTCACTGTGGAGAGTACAGTAGTTAGGCCTACTTTGGCGTTGTGTATTGGTTACTGTAGGCCTACTCTAGCTAGGCCTAGCCTAGGCCTCGACTAGGATCTACCTTTAAAAATTAATAATGATTGAACACTACCTAGGCCTAGCCTAGGCCTACAGTAGGGCCTATAGGCCTAGCGAGTTAAGGCCTACAATATACAGTATCTCTGCTCCTCTGCAGTGTAGGGGTGTAAGCTCCCGTCTAACGGGACTGTCCCAGTTAAACATATTTGTTAAACCAATAAAACATACTGTAGAAAATAAATTGTTGGCACTGTTTCAGCAATTGATAGGCTATTGCTAGCAATGTTCTAGGAGGGAAGCTCAGGCACTGTGATTAATATAAAAAAAAATTAAAGAAAGGATAGACGGATATGCCTAGGTTATGGAAAATTAATGCAGGACATTATAATCCACACTTAGCCCCACCATGGCTGTAGCTGGTGAGAAAATTCTAAGAATATGGCATGGCACGCACCTGCCTCTAGATGGCAGTAAATGCGTGTTTAAACACTGTACAGATCATGATGCAGGGGACATGAATGAAATAAACAACTTTAGTTTTGTAGAGTACAGAGTATACATCACTCTTGCCATATATATGAGCTTCAGTAAAGAACTGTGTGACTTTTAACTCCATTTTGTACGGGCAGGACCGTTGGAAATAATTTTTTGTCTGACTTTCACTCTAAATGTGGGGCACTTGGTAGGTCCAATAAAAACAAGGCAGCAGATTATTAGCCTACTTTAGTCTATGATTTTCAACATAGATTTATAAAATTTTAGATGACTGGGATGTAGTTTTTATTTCATCCTTCAAGGTGATTATAAGGGAAAGGTATGTGATGGCACAAGGCCAAAAAGGGGCCTATCATTTATAAGCACTGCCTACAGTAATTCTGTCTACTGGAACTTAGTGAATACAACAATGGATCTTGGTAATTGAAATTTAGCCATTTATGTTTTTTTCTGGGGAAAAACAGCAAGATAGGAATTGCCCAAAATTGCAGGTACAGTATTAATAACAGCTGTGGAAACGGGACAAGATGAAGATTTATCGGTCACTTTCCTTGGAAAGTCATCTGTAGGGTCCTAGGGATTATTAAGATTATCGAGCCAAAGGTCCTGTTATTGTCCTGGACAGTTAGACAAACCCACATATTACTGGGTTTACTGTACAGTACAGGACTAATGATAAATTTACGCTGTGTCTTTGTCTGTCCGTAATAATACAATACATCCATCATTACGTAGAATTTCCATAGTACTACTGTGGACGTTCCATAGAACTTCAGAAATCTGCATGACAAGCAAAAGTAGGCCCCTTCAGGTAGTTGACTTTGAACTTCCACAAGTGATGTTCAATCTCTGCCACGAGTTTAAAAATGACCAATATTGTGGGAGTGTATATATTTTTATAAAGTAAGAATGAAGGATCAAAAACCATAGTGTACAATTGAAGGCAGTGGTAATTGTACAGCAATCTTAAACAAATTCCTGGTTGTGATTGGATGTTATTGTCCTACAGTAGCTATAATATAATCAGAATTAGAAATTAGTTTAGTGTAACAATAGCTAAGCCATTATTAAAAGGTCACCACTTGCCTTTTTTTGCCTGTTTTTTGTCAATGCATTCTTTTTATTAAATTAGTTTTAAACAATTGAAAAATATACTTAACACTATTTAATACTGTATCTCTATTTTCCATGTGTGCAGAAAGTAAATTCTATGTAATGCCCATTGTCAAAATGCATACAGCAATTAAATCTTATTGAATAATATTCGCTAAAAAACTACTAACAGCTTTCAAGTCAAGGCCATTAAGCCTAATAAAGTCTACCTAAACTGAATACTATGGGCAATAATCCAATTCAACAATTAATGCTAAATAGGTCTTGGTGGTGAGGAGATAGATCGTAAAGAAATTGGAATCTAGGTGTACTAAATAAACAGTTGACTGCTTCCTCATCCTTTTGCCAATAGCCTCACAAAAGACAATTGACAAATCCTTTAATACTCATTGAAGCTTGTAAATGTCTCAAGTCCTTGTGCTTCAGATCCAATAATTATATGATTAATGATAACAGAATCTGCACCTGTTGGAATCTTGCCAAAATCATATTACTGCACTATATCTGATGATACTTATCGTGTGTGGTACCATATTCACGTTAGTATATTAGTGTACTATATTTGTACTTTGTCCAGTTTGTTTTTTACATTTTTTTTTTAGTATTTTACTTACATGTTCCTTCACAAGCAGATACAGTATGACCATTTTTATAATTCTTAACTGCTTTCCTCAACTGCCATCCAAAAAGATTAAGGAAGAAACTCCAAAATTGAAAAATAACATTTTATAAAATAATCATGTACAGTGTACAATACGCTATCAACTTTAAATAAATTGCAGATAAAAATTGATTTTGAATAATTATCGTACTGTATGTACCATACAGAAATTCATGAACTTGCTGGACTGACATTTAAGGGTACATTACACACTATAGGAATGATATTATTTAAAGATTTGCAAGGAAATGTTTTTCTCATTCTAATTTTGTTATGAAGACTAAATTGGTAAAAACTCAGATCAGATGAACATACAGTAAAGTATGGCTTGAACAAAAAGCATTACTGAACTATTATAAATCATTCAAACACATTACATTGCCATAAGGCGAGGCTTTGTTTAAATACATGGTTTAGTACAGTAAACCAGCCGCCCACCAAGAATGATGATTTTGAATAAAAATAACATTTAATTTTTGGCCAATTAGCACACCCGATGCCACAAAAAATGGAAATTTCAGAAGATTTTATTTTATAAAATTTTATTTTTATTTTCTCCTCCATCTGGATGTTTTTAGCAAAACTATTTGCTGAATGATAAAACAAAATTTTATTTTTATTTCTACCCTCCTGATAAAATAGGTTTGCGAAACAAGGTATTAAAAAGTCTCACCTAATTAATTTAAATCTATAGATACTAATCATCGTTTAAATGTAATACAGTATTAATCTTCTGCAGCTTAATTTATTGCCAATATTCTTGTGAGATAGAAGATTTAGCTTTGCACATTAAACTAAGCATGTTGGATGACATAAACAGTCGGGTTTACACTGAGCATAATTCATGAGCTGTACAGTAGGTCCAAGTCTGTATATCCGATGAATTATCCACTTCCTTCATAATATGTTTCTAGTATTTATCAACTATCAAATTAGTGGTGAATAGATAACTAGTCTGGAATTTAAATTACTGGTCAATCATGAGCTAAAAATAAAAGGACATCTGTAAGGTAAGACTTTCCTTATATCTTGTTTAGCGAACCCACCGCTAGCCAATAATGATGATTTCAAATAAAAATAAAATTTTATTTTTGGCTAATTAACACACCCGTCGCCGCGAAAAAAAAATGAAAATTTGTGAAAAAAATAAAAGGTTTCCTTTATTTTTATTACATCCACCGCTGCCTTAAAATTTCTAAAAAATAAGATACAGTACTGTATCTTATTTTTTAGAAATTTTAATTTTAATTTTTTAATTTTAATTTTTTATTTTATACTTATGTATATTTCTTCCTAACTATATAAACTTTCCCAATTCCAAATATTATCTGCATTCCCAATATTATCTGTGTACAGTTCGGTTGGTAGAGCCAAGTCTTCTCGGATAAGGACTTAAAATGGAGGTCCAGTGTATACATCTGGCTTGTGTGCACTTTAAAGAACCCATTGCATCTTTCGGAAAAAGATTAGGGTGTTACCCCGATGTTATGGTTCATTTCAGCCCCTGTCGTTGTGGAATGATGTCATGTACTGTAACTGCTATAAGCACCTCTTTACGGTTGCTAGGTAGTCACGGACCATGCCGCAATTCAGCACAATGACGCTGCAAGTTATTGGTTATTCTCCTACCTATACCTAACTCACCAATAAAATGTTATTTTTATTTTCTCTTCCATATGGCTGTTTTTGGCAAAACTACAGTATTAATAGCTTAATAAGAAAACAAAACTTTATTTGTATTTTTTTCCGCCCTCTTCTGACGATAAAATATAAGTACGCGAAACAAGGCATAAAAAAGTCTCGCCTAATAAGTTAATCAGTTTTAACTCGAGAATCAGATAACTTCAAAAAATCAAAGTATGCCAAATTGCTATCGCCAAACAATAACAACAAAAATAATATAATAACATAGCGCCACTAAACATATAATAAATAAATATATACATAATATTGGCGCAATATACAGTAAATCCTTGTTGATTGATTGATTGATTGATTGAATATATTAAAACAAATCAACATCTGTAAGAATCCATTATGAAATTTTCATCATACTGTACTGCATGATCTTACTTCACCATCACATCATTGACACTCATTTTCATCATCATTTTTTGTCATCGTCCCAGCCTCCGCCGTCATTAACAACAGCAACGCTCATTATTTGCCTATAGAAAGGCTTTATTGCCAAAGCCAGAGTAAGCCTAAAACAATGGTTCAAAATGGAAATTTTCAAGAATTTTAAATTATAAATTTGATACCTTTTTTACA